TGTGTGTGTGTGTGGGTGGGGGTGTGTATGTACCTATAAAGGCCTATATTTTTTTTCCTCTGATGTTGATCATTATTATTATATACTTAATTTGCATTTCTTATTGTGTACTTTTACAATGCCACGCTTGCACAGATAAAGTGTACTATTATGTTTTGAGGCTCCTCGATGCTAAGGCTATGCCTTTTAAGGAGCCACCGTGTGAAGTATTGCTTAAAGAAAAAAGTAAATGTAAAAAAGCTGCGGTGGCTGTCACGGGCCCCAAGAATCCCAGTCATAATTTTCAATTTCAAATAATTTTGGAAATTGATAAAATGAAACCATAGTACTCACATTCGTACGAGACCTCCATATACTTAAATGTTCCGTTACAGGGGTCACCAAAAACACCGTTTTTAGCCTGGACACTACACGACGAATTTCCATCGCAAGCCTGTTTGACTTTGGATATTGATGATTGCGCAATGCACGACGTGTCCTCAATGCTGCCCGAGTAAGCACAACGCTGGCTATAAGGCACAGAACGTCCGTAGCTGGCGCACAAAATATTAATCGTGTGGCTACCACAGTTGATGAACATGGTGTCATGCTCACATACGAATCTAGTGATTACCGCATCTGTAAATCATAAATTTATGTAAGAAATTAATTAATCGGTCAATCAATCATTTAAGCATTTTAAACTACAGGACGGGATCTCAGGGAAGGATCCGAGGTCCACGACGGGGGCTAATATCCCCGACGAAAAAAAGTGTTCGTAGTCGGGCGCCGTTCAAAACCTCTCAACAGTGTTCCATGGGGCGAAGCTACTAATATGTAAAAAATACATATAACAAATTGTGGTTTTCTAGCCGACGTGGGGGTGACAGCTGTCCCCTCCCCCCGGCACCCCACTGGCGCTACCCCTGAGAGGAGAGGAATCCGCGTTGATTCAGATGTTAAGTGCACCTGGAATGTTTAACTCAAGATAGTATATACATACTTCAAGTATATTTGGAGTATATTATCCTTTCGGATGTTCAAAACCGTATACAAAGTGATGGATGGAGCAAAGGCGATGGAGCTTGAATAACACAAAAAATACATCGTTTTGATTTGCCAAATACTATACTGAAGAGAGTGGAGAAAATATCTCAATATAGGCCTACAAGAAGTTGTATTAAATAAACTTTCAAATTTAAATGAATTTCTACTCACTGTTGCATCCGAGAAAAGCTGCTAAGAGGCAGATTGTGAGAAAGGTTTTCATGCTTGGTGTAGTTGAAACTGGAAACTGTACTGCAGAATAAGTAAAGTCATTCGTGTTATATAGGTGT